GCCCACTTCTTCAGATGCATATATATCCGAAGAAGTGGGCTGTAGTCCACGAAAGCTTATGCTCTAATAAATTTGTTAGTCTCTAAGGTGCCACAAGTACTCCTGTTCTTTTTGCGGATCCAGACTAACACGGCTGCTACTCTGAAACCAAATCCCTATGTGGCTCTAGCCCTCAGTGCCTAAATCTCTCAAAAATCAGTCTTGGGCTCCCAAGAAACTTAGGCGCTTTTCAAAATTTAACCTCACATATGTAGGTAAATTTTCTTTAATGTTACAAGGCCAGTTAAAATTTAAATTTAGTCTTTTTACTATAAGAAATATTTTTGCAAGAGGGAAACAGGTATTTTTCCTGGAAAACATCTGTTGATAAACACCATCTTCCCTTTCAACTTTAGATGATCAGCGTTTTGCTTTTGAAAGAGCCATGCAGACTATTCAGAAAGTGTGGAGCAATATCAGATCAGATCCCAGAATCTCAGGTATTTTGACTTTCATGGTGTTTTACTTTCCTTTCTAGGTATTTTTCTATGATGTAACAAACGATCCAGTTGTGAAGCTGAGTACAAGTCTACTCCAGAGTAATTACCAAGTATTCCCTGATACACAAAGTATCCGAAGTAACCCCTATCCTGCAAACATCCTTAACCTACTCTGAGTAGTTCCACTGACTTCACTGGGGCTACTCACAATGTCTAAAGCTCAGCATGGACATAAATAATTGCAGGGTTGACAAGGAAGGGAGCTGTGTAGTGATAGGGCAGTGATAATCAGATCACTCAGTTATGTAGGCTAACTGAGCATTATCCCAGGTGGAAATTGCTAGCTAGAACTGGAGGTGATTTTTATTTTTTCTATGTTTTTCACTAACTTTTTTTTTTTTTAAATAAAACACTTGCTGGGGTTTTTTTTTTGGTTGAATTTTATTTATTTAGATTTAATTTGAAATTTTGACAAAAGGTGTGTAAAATGTGGAGAATTATTTTGTGAAAAATGCCCCCCCCACCTTGTTCTACCCCTGTCATTTGATACCCTGGTTCCTGTGATTCCATGAACACATTGTGAAAGATTTTCTGCTTTATTACAGAAATAAGTATCCCTAAAGACTTGTGGTGCAAGGAGATCAACGCTGACACTGCCATCCTGGACCTCCTGCCAACCACTCCATCCATAACTTACATTGTTACCAGGGTCTTAATACAGCTCCAGAACGGCTGCATTGACACAGCTGCTCAACTCACTAAGGAAAAACAAAGGTATCTTTCAATCCTCACCCCTAGGGGGGAACCACTCTGACTAGGTAACTTTAGTTACCCATAAATCAACAATTCATCTTAAAACATAGATCTTGAGTCTCGTGTCACTTCAGGTGGTATAAAACAGGCATAGCTCCATTGATGTCTATGATGTTACTCCTGATGTACAGCCATCTATGTGAGGAGGGCCAGGCCAGACTTCTCCAAGAAGAAAACCTCACTCTTACGACCTTGTGCAATGCAGCAGTTAGGCTGAGACTGTCTCAAGGCCTGGTCTGCTCAGGTGGGATGTAAAGTTGATTTGGTCTGTTCAGGGAGATACTTTGAATAAAAGCTTGAATTATATCTAATGTCAAAAGGACTGATCAACTTCATTGTAATTTAGGAAGTTCAATTATCCTCATTTATTTTAGTGTCCCAGACGGGGGTGCTGGAACTAGGGTGCTGGGGGTGCAGTAGCACTCCCTGACTTGGAGTGGTTTCCATCATCTACAGGGTTTACAGTTTTTTAATGGCTTTCAGCACTCAGCACCCTGGTCCCAGACTTACCTTAGGGTAGGTGAGGTCAGAATCTGACCCTGACCCCACTGCAGTCAGGAGCTGACTCAGGATTGATCCCAGGGGAGCTGAGATCAGAATCCAGTTTTGACCCCACGGCAATCAAGGGATGACTCCAAATTAGCCCCAGGGTAACTTGTCATGTTGCCATAAGGAAGGACCGAGGAGCACAGCAAGATACTTATGGTCCCAACAGGGAACTGCCTTTTTACAGCTAACCTGGGTGTGCCACAGACATTCAGCGGCATATAACCCGGAGTGTGATCACAGCTGTACCAGTATGAAGATGTTGACAGCAGTGTAGTTTTCCCATATATTTAGGGTAATAAGTTATGGTGTTGTAAGCATCTTTATACCGGTAAACTGCACCCGGCTAGGGGTCGAACCAATTTAACTATTTAGCTTAAAAAAAAATCACCCCCCCAAAAAATAGTTAAATTAGTAGAAAGTCGGTTGGTAGAGCAGGCTAGCTCAACCTATACAAACCTGCTGTAAACTGATATAAGTGCATCCACACAAGGGTTTGCACCAGTGCAACTACATTGATTATTTTAAACCGATTTCAGCTCAACTGGTGCACTTGATCTTAGCCAAAAGGCCAAGAAGCGCTTGATTTCAGTTCAGCTGATACAACCACTGTGTATAGAGCTTAATCCTGTTCCTATTGAATTCAAAAGCAAAACTCCCATTGGCTTTAGTGGGGCAGGTTCAAACTCTTAGGGCCACATTTACAAAGGTGTTTAGGCACCTGCAGATGCAAAGAGGCACCTAGTGGGATTTTCTAAAGTGCCAAGGCAGGTTAGGCTCCAAACTCTCACTGTTTTCAATGGCTGCAATGGGAGGTAGAACAGACTAGTGGACAGAGTGCAACACGGGAACACAGAAGACCTGGCTAATCCTGGCTATGCTGGCTGATGCTGGGCAAATCAATTTCCTTTCACTCTGTCTCAGTTTTCCCATCTGTAAATTGGGGATAATGATACTTAGCTCTTTGAGAGTCAAGAGCTAGAGGTTATTACGTCTTATTATCTGCATGTGTAGGTGCCCAAAGATCTTTGTAAAGCTGATCTTTGACCTTTGGTCCTTTAGCTCACACAGCGAAGGTGCTCGGTGTTTGAGATTGCAGAGTCTTTCTTTGCTTTTCCCTTGTTGTCTCCTCTCAGTAGATAGGGACCCAGCCCTTTCTGATTTCCTGTCGCTGTCTTGCCAACTCTCTCACTGTTTTACAGCTTCCCTGTCAATTCTGTCAGTTTCTGGCCTTGGTGGCAGTGGGGAAAAGACTAGAAACATGGTCCCCAAGCCTGCCAACTACAAATGCTAGAAGTCTAAGTAATAAGATGGGTGAACTAGAGTGCCTTGTGATAAAGGAGGATATTGATATAATAGGCATCA